CAACCTCAGTCTCTTGGGCTCAAGAGATCTTCTTGCCTCAGCTTCCCCAGTAGAGTGAGATCCTCTCTTACAGGCGTGCACCATCACACCCAACTAATTTTTCCATTTTTAGGAGAGATGGGGTCCTTGTTCTTGTTCAGGTTGGTCTTAAACTCCTGAGCTCAAGCAATCCACCCACCTCACCCAGAGTGCTAGGATTACAGGTGTGAGCCACTGCTCCCAGCCAAGGCAAAAGCAATCTTAAACTGCGTATAGAAACAGTCACTTAAAAGGGAAAGACCAAAATAAACCAGAATAAGTGGGCTACTGTGGAGTGTAGGACTGAAGAATGTAGTGGAAAACATTATTAAAACATGTCATGAGACTTCTCAATCAGATGCAATTAGAACACTCACAATTTTTTTCTCATTTTAAAAATCCAAATAGAATAATTGGAAAAGTGAATGGTTACCCTTAAAAAAAATTTCAGTCCAAAAATATACAGAAATGAGCATGATGGGGGAAAAGATAAAGGCATAGGAGATAGCTCTGGTGGACTTACTAATCAACAAATAATCAGATGTCTCAAGGGGAAAACAAAAGAACACAGAGACCGAAAGTCAGAATCAAAAAAATAAGAGAGCAACTTTACTGAAGAGAAAAATACCTCGAGTTTTCAAATTCAAAGCTTTACCAACTCACAGACAGAACAACAAAAAAAAAGATACACACCTAGACTCTTGCACCTGGTCAAATTTGTGAACTTTCAGGGTGATGAAAAAGTCTTAATGGTGCCAGGCAAAAAAGAACAGGTCTCTTGGAAAGGAAGAAGAGTCTAGCACTGAGCCTGCTCACACACTGCCCTTGCCTCACTCTCAGTTCATCCTTTGGCAATGCCTAGTGATGCCTGATTAAATCTGTCTCTTCCTTCCTCCCCACTTCCATGCTGTTGCTGAATGGGCTGGAGGAACCTCACCCTGACTTCCCTTTATATGCAAGTCAGGGAACCTCAGGTGGGCCAGCAAATCACACCTTCCCTACTGCATTGGCAGCTCTCTCTCAGCCTCACTTCCTCCTAGGGGTAACCAAAATAATCTGGAGAATCTCGGCAGATTCCCAGCATAGTATCTGCCTGCCTCTGAGCACTTGCACTCACACACTGAAATTCACACACTCTTCTTTCCTCTACCATAAGAAAGAGTTCAGATGCTCTTATGTACATTCCCTCTCGCTTACTGAATATCATTGCTGCAACAAGTCTCCCTTCTCTCATACATCAAGTTTTTCCTTTTTTTGAGACAGAGTCCCAGACTGTTGCCCTGGGTAGAGTGCCATGGCATCAATGCTCACAGCAACCTCAAACTCCTAGGCTTGAGCAATTCTATTGCCTCAACCTCCTAACTAGTTGGGACTACAGGCATTCGCCACCAAGTCCAACTTTTTTTCTATTTTTAGTTGAGACAGGGTCTCACTCTTGCTCAGGCTGGTCTTGGAACTCCCGAGCTCTGGCAATCCACTTGCCTCGGCCTCCTAGAGTGCTAGGATTATTGGTATGAGGACCCACTGTACATCACTGTTCCCCCCTCAGTCATTGACATCAGCACTAAGTCATTTCTTAAACACAAAGAAATCAAACTTCCTCTCCACACTTCTCCTTCCTACTACCAACCAATCCTTTGTTCTTTGCAGCATAACTCAGACTTCTCTATACTCCTTGCCTACAATTCCTTTCCTCTTTTTTTCATCTGGAGCCTCTCCAGTAAGATTTTTTCGTCCTGTATTCCACAGTTGTTCCTGGGCCCACAGTTGTTAAGGTCACCAAGAAACTCCAGGTGATTAAAGGCAGAGATCAATATTTGGTCTCCATAGCACTTGACCTATCGGCAGATGTTTTCCTTTCCTCCTCCCTGGACACACTGTTTCCACTTGGCTTACAGAACATCACAACTTCTTACTTGTCTTGCTACCTCACTGGTGGCTCCTTTTTGGTCTCCTTTCCTGAGGTCTTCTTCTCTTGACCTATGTTAATTTGGTCTAATTTTTTTTTTTTGAGACAGAATCTTACTATGTCACCCTTGGTAGAGTGTCTTGGCATCACAGCTCACAGCCTCAAACTCTTGGGCTTAAGTGATTCTCTTGCCTTAGCCTCCCAAGGAGCTGGGACTACAGGCGCCTGCCACAGTGCCCAGCTGCTTTTTTGTTGCAGTTGTCATTGTTGTTTAGCAGGTTCTGGGCGGGTTCGCATATGCCCACTCATATGTATATGGCCAGCGCCCTAACCACTGACCTATAGGCGCCGAGCCAGTTTTGGTCTAAATTAATATTCCCGTACTCTTAAATGGACGCTAACTCTCATATGTGTTAGCCATAGGATAATGATTTTCTTTTGATTTAAAGTTATTAAGGTACAGCCTCATCAGTGAGAAGAAAGAAAGAAAGAAAGAGAAAGAAAGAAAATAAGAAAATAACTTTTAGGCAGCAAAATTTAATGCAAACGATTATTGAAGCCAGGGCTACCTGGCCTGGGAAAAGATTGATTGGCTTTGACATTGCATCCTGGTTAAGTCAGTCATCACCAATATCTGGTTTGCTCTCTAAGATGCGTTCATACCCTCTAAAACACTAATTCTATTTTGGGAGAATATGCCAAGAAAAACAATTCTATAAAGAAAATATATGTTGATTGTACAAGGAAAAATATAAGTGTTTCATTTATAAAGCAAAATTTTATAAATAAAATGGATAGGCTGGCAGGCACTGGTGTTGAGCAGCAGCTATAGGCAGGTGTGCAGGGGCCAACAAACAGGTAAATTTTGGAAGATTTACATACTGAAGTATTCTCTCAAGTAAATTCACGAGGTTTATGTTAATATTGTAAATATTAAAATAATCTTTTTGGTGATGAGGGATGCCCTATATTTAAGGTGATGCCCTATATTTTAACATTGGTAAAGCAGGACACCATTGACTGGGGGGGAGGTTCTTAATTAAAAAATTGGTCTATATGGAGCAACAAAAATTTTCGTAGAACGCAAAAATAGTATTGTAATATATATATTTTAAATTTCAACATAAGTACAATTTACAAATATAATACATTAAAAAAGATTATGTATAGGGCGGCGCCTGTGGCTCAAAGGAGTGGGGCGCTGGCCCCATATGCTGAAGGTGGTGGGTTCAAACCCAGCCCTGGCCAAAAAAAAAAAAAAATTATGTATAGTATTATTTTATTCTTTGGCATATTTCTCATTTGAGTGAATTTTTCTTAGTAGATTGCTGTCATTTAAAAGGTCATGAAAATTTTCACAAGAATTTGTTAAATTATATTTCACATATAAAATGGCTTTCAATGTCTCAACACTTAGTTGTGATTTTTCTGATGTCCACACTTTATTTACCTTAGAAAAAACACGTTCAGTTGCAGCATTAGTTCCTGGTAAGGACAGCACATATCCCACAATTTTTAGTGCATTATTCTATGGAACATAGTTTGTTTCAAAATGATGAAATATTTCTAAACATTTGTTCTCTATTGTGATTTTTGCTGATGCCCAAGAGTTAACCTTTTCTTTATTAATATATATTTTTAATAATGATACCTTGTAAGTTCTAAGTGTCACTTTTAAGGCTGGCGCTAGAGTTTTTGCCACCACTATAAAATATAAATAATATGAGTACTGTCTGCTAAATTCATGAAATAAATAAATTACCTAAATTATCTGAATAGCTGATTTGTTGACATCACTTGTTTAACTAGCACTAGCAAGCAGTTCGATGTGTATTGTCTGAGAGACAGTTACAAAATGTTTTTGTCGTTCCCAATGCCAAAAAATGCCACTGTTCATTAAGTCCAAACAATGGTGACCAAATTCTGACAACTGATCAACAATGCAAACTTTGATAAGCAGTTCTCGATAATCAGTTCTCAACAATTATTTGTTATTATTAAAGTTTAACATTATAAAATTAACAAAAATGATATAAAACTTTTATCCTGACAAATAGCCCAAATAGCAATGTTGGGACCAGAATTGCCACTGAGAGACCACCACACATACGTAAAGACAAAAAGTGCTTTATTTTGCAAGCATATGCCTGGGCCACTCTTCCCTTCAGCGTGCCTGGAGGAAGGGTGACCCCCTCCTGAAGCAGCTGAGGTTTTTAAAGTGCATAGAGGAATTTCAAGAAGTGTTTTGTCGGGCTGGGCTGCTATTGGCTGAGCTGTTTATGGTTAGGGACCCTGGGTGGGGGGTACTTGTTTGTTCCAGACAGTTTGGCTCCTTCTGAGCTAATTGTCCTTGCCTAGAAGGGAGGGAGGGAGGGAGCCAGTCTCCTTCTGATACCCATTCCACCTGGGGGACCTTGCCCAGAAGGGGAGTAAGGCGTTTACATTAGCCTTTTCATTTCCAAATGAAGTTACATTAACCTTTTCAGCAGCTGAAAACCCGGATATTCCCTTCCTGCTCTCCGCAGTTCCCTAGCTTGTCATGCATTCTTTCCAAAAATCGGGACTTTTAAAAAACGCCACAGGACACGGGACAAATTGTTAAAAATCTGAACTTACCTTACCTATATTGCCAACGCTAGACTCTCAACTTCTGGGCTCAAGAGATCTCCTCGCCTCAGGCCCCTGAGTGCCTGGGATTTAGAGGTACGTGCTACCGAGCCTGGCTAAATAAAAATAATCTTATAGGGGGAAAAAAAAGAGTAGCACAAGGTAATACTTATCATACTGACTACAGCTCTATAAAACATTTTTGTCACAAATATTCATTTTGTAAAAAGGTTATTATCATAACTTACTGCCTTTTACGAACATAGCAACATACACGGCAATGACAAGAAAACTGCCACCAATACGCAGGAATTACGTACAATAAGGAAGTCCAGGCTGCGGTGTGGACTCCCTCTACCACCGCTGTAAACTGCGGGTTTAGCACCGGGTGGACCACCTGCCAATCAGGCTTCCAGAAGACCATTGGCCGACGGACCGCCCAGGGGCGCTCTGCGCCCGCCTCCAAGTCCCGGCGTACCTGGGAGGCGCGGCGCTCCGGCCCTCTGGAGCGCTACGCTCTCCCTCTAGCCTAGTCTTCCTCCCGCCGACCCCGCCCGCCCACCGCAAGGGGGCGCCGCAGGCTGCTCGGTGCGGGGCTCACCGCCCGGGAGCGCAGGCGGGCGGGAGCGGGCCAGTGGCGGAGGCCGGCCCGGCGGCGGCCATGGACCGCTTCGTGTGGACCAGCGGCCTCTTGGAAATCAACGAGACTCTAGTGATCCAACAGCGCGGGGTGCGCATCTACGACGGCGAGGAGAAGGTAGGATGGCGGCCCTGCCGAGGGGCCGGCGGAAGGGTAAGGGGCTCCAGGTGGGCGTCGCAGCTCGGCCCGGTCCGGCCCCTGGCCTTGCTCTGGGCCCGCGGCGCCCCGGCCGGCCTCTGTGTGCCGGGCGCCGCGCTCAGTTCCTCCCCTCCGGCCGATCACCTGGGCGTCTACTCGCGCGGTTCGTGCGCGCTGAGCCCCCGACTCTGGAGCGGTTTCCAGCAGGCGCTGATTGGGGCTGCCTCCCTCCGCTCGCAGAGATTCGGAGGGGGGCACACCGTGCGCGCCGGGGAGAAGGTTTGAGGTCTGTCTGCCGGCGGCTGGGTGGCGATAAGGACGGCGTGGTTTCAGAACGCCTGATGTCACTGAGTCTCCGGCGCTATCAGTGGGGCACAGCCCAGTTCCGCCCTTTTGTTGGCTGCTGTACGTGCCCTGACCCAGAGGCAGCTTTGGCCTGACCTTAATGAGAGTCGGAGGGATTAGTCTGGCTGCTTTGCGATGAGGTTGCTTTGAAAGCATTTCCGAAGGAGGTAGCAGTGTCTTCCTCTTTGGAACGTCCTTGCCGCTCTTGGGTTTTTGGTTGTTTCTACTTTTGGTAATTTCTGTAAAAAGAAATTTTGAGCGTGTTTTGTAAAGAGAAGTAGTAGGCCATGCCTTATAAGGCAAGCATAAAACTTGGGAGAGGGTTTGCAAATGGAGAAGAGAAACATGAAGTATAAATGTTTTGTGGATACTTGGAGAAACTACAAAATATCCCATCGTGGATTGAAAAGTACAAACTGGACCTAGAAAAATTTTAAAACTCATTTACCCACAACCATTTTTAGTTTCTAGAAGTTTTAACTTGTTACATCTCCTTCCTTGTCGTTTTGTTAAGGAACTTACCTCTGTATACATTTCCTGGTCTGTGCTTTCACCTTCCTGGAGGCACAGGTGACTTTGGACCGGATCTTTGATTCTCTTGGGTTTTTTTCCCCCGTGGACTGTGTTGCCTCTATTATTGAGTCAAGGTGTTTCCTTAAATAATTTGCTTGGGCTTACTTTATTTACTGCCTTAGCACTTTTATTACTTTGATCTCAAATAGATCTTGCTTTTTTTTTTTCTCGAGATAAGGTTTTGCTCTGTTGCCCAGGCTGGAGTGCAGTGGCCTCATCATAGCTCACTGCAACCTTAAACTGCTGGGCTCAAGCGATCCTCCAGCCTCAGCGTCCCCAGGAGCGGGAACTACAGGCTCCTGCCACCATGTTCAGGCTAATTTGCGTGTGTGTGTGTGTGTTGCTCAAGCTGGATCTTGAATCTTTTGATCGGAGTGACAAGCTAATTTTTTTTTCTTTCTTTACCAAGTTTATATCTTTGGAAGTGTTTTAAATGGGAAATTTAATTGATCTCTTCTCCCTCAATAGGTTTAGTTCTACCCCCATTCTAAGAAGAACTAAATGTTGACAATGACAGGTATGCCCTCAAAGACTCTCTAAGTGTGTCCCAAAGACACACTTGGAAAGAGTGCCTGGAAGCATGGCACTCTGTTGTTCCTGGAACTCCAGCATGCAGATTGGGAACCCCTTTGCTGCCAGGCAGTATAGCTATGATATATTTCAAAGAATGTAAAATTACAACCATTGGTATTGCTATTTGGGAAAGAAAAAGCATTTTGGAACCAACAAATTCTAATTTTCCCTTTAAAACTTTTGCTGCTTGTTTTAGCAGACAAGTATATAGGTACCAGAGTTTGAAGTTTAGAAACCCTTTGATCTAGTCAAAAATTCTTTTTTTAAGATAAGAGTCTCACTCTGGGTAGAGTGTGTGGCAATATAGTTCAACAGCAACCTCAAACTCTTGGGCTCAGGAGATCCTCTTGCCTCAGCCTCCTGAGTAGCTGGAACTACAGGTGATGGCCAGGCTAGTTTTTCAGTTTTTAGTAGAGACTTGTTTCACTCTTGCTCATGCTGGTCTCCAACTTGTCAGCTCAATCGATCCTCTCTCCTTGGCATCCTAGAGTGCTAGCATTACAGGCATGAGCCAATGAGCCTGGCCCCCCCAAATTCTTAAGTCTCCTAAATGGAGACTCTTGAAATTGAAGTGATGTTCTGCATGGAGCCTCCTCACTAACTGTCTGCAGCTACTGGGTCCCTGGGCTGAGTGAGGGCAAACTGATAGCTGGGAGTAGCGTACCTTGTCCTGGTTTCTTCCTTCAGCTGGAAGGCTTCCAGCTTTCATGTGGTGCTGGAGACTAGGAGGCTGCACATCCGCCTCCAGATCTGCTGGAGTTCATCTGCCGTTCAGAATCTCTCACTGGCTTCCTGAAGCTGGGGATGGCAGCCCAGACTGCTTAGCCTTCATGGTAGCTTCCCAGTAAGTTTCCCAGGCCATGGCTGTCTTCTAGACCAGTTTGGTGCTTCTGGAGGGCAGAGAAGTGTACCTTATTCATGCTTGTATCTTCTGGCTTGCTGAAGATGTAAGACATGTTTAAAAAACCCTGTGGATAATTAAAATACCTACTGTGTGCCAGGAGCTATATATATGATCTCATTTAATCCTCTCAACAGGAATATGAGGTATTTTACTAGACGAGAAAATAACACTTAGAAATACAGTGACTGGCCTAAGATCCTCGGAGAGAGATAAGATTTAAATCTGTGTTGCTTGGACAGCCAACTCCTATGCATTGTTCCTGGTGCTAGCACTGCACTTCAAAATACAGCAGTCACCAGTGCCACTCTTGATGACATGTTGGATGTAGCTAATCCTCCCAAAGAGGAAACTGAGAGCCACAGTTGAATATTTAGAAAACTGTGAGCTGTCCAGGGTCACACAACTAGTAATTAGTGGAGCTAGAATTCCTAGTGAGATCCAGTGGATGTGTTCTTTCCAGTGCCCAGTGCCTCTCATGAAAGTGCATGCTTGCTTGTTTATACAGGTACAATTTATCTGCATTATGATGGGATAATGGGTTGTTTTCTTAAGTACCATAGACAAGTCATTTGTTTAAATTCACAGACGCTTCTATAGCTTCAACTAATTTAACAAATAACGTGAGAACATTAGTCATGTGTAAAGTGGTGAGTTGGCAGCATATACCAGAAGATTCAGAAGATGTTTATTGTCTTCCAGCTAACTATTTCACTTTTTGGAGTTTACCCTTAGGAAATAATCAGAGATGTGTAAAAATACTATATATGAGAATGTTCATCTCACTGTTCTTATATAATATACATTAGGGAAAAATTGGAAGCAATCTGAATGGCCACCGTAGAAATTGGCTAATTAAATTATGGCATGCCCTAATTAGCATGAGTAATTGCTAGTGATGTGCTGCTAACTGTATTTTTATAACTATTATACTTATAAAAGTACAAATGTTTTATTTTGTTTAAAGATTGTGTGTGTGTCTGTCCATCCACACTCTGATTATGAGTGGTTTCATTTTCTTTTTCAGACTTTAAATATTTTCTAGGCTGGGCGCAGTGGTTTATGACTGTAATCTCAGTGCTCTGGGGAGGCAGAAGCTGGTGGATCACTTGAGCTCAGCAGTTGAAGACTGGCCTGACCAAGAGTGAGACCCTGTCTACTAAAAATAGAAGAAAAAAAAAACTAGCTGGGCATTGTTTCAAGTGCCTGTAATCCCAGTTACTACAGAGGCTGAGGCAGGAAGATTGCTTGAGCCCAAGAGTTTGAGATTGCTGTGAACTATGATGAAGATACGGCTCTCTACCCAGGGCGATAAAGTGAGATTGTCTCAAAAACAAACAAAATTTTCTAGATTTTCAACAATGAACAGGTATTACTTGTGTAACAGATAACATTTATATTAAAGGAAACAGGGTAAGAGCTTTCAGTGAAAGTCTAAATTAGATTTTCCTTTAAGTCGTTAAACTTATTCTAGCCGTGAATGGTAGAAACAAACCAGCCTAAACTTGCCTATCAGCTTTCCATCATAATCCATTGAAATCCTTGAAGGGAACTATTACACAATTTCTTCACTTGGAGCAGCAACATTTTATATTTGCATGTTGTTAATTGATGTAGCTATGAAACATACTCTGGCTTCAACTTTAACATTAACATCCATATGCCAGAATTCAATAAAAGAAGGTGCAGAGATTTTCAATCAGAACTACTATGTTCTAAATCAGCATCACATGCTCTCAAGTTAATATAAATATTTGCTTTTGGAAAGGGGAAGTTTACTTACTGGCAAGAAAGAGATTTTATTTTATTTTATTTTATTTTTTTGAGACAGGAGCCTCAAGCT